TAGATTTAGCGCTTTTTTGGAATGTATAGCGCGCATTTCGAAATTTTAGCACCTAGCACTTAATCCAGCGCTTTTTGGTGTATTTAGCACAAATTTCAAAATTGTAGCGACTAGCGGGTTATTAACTCTTTTATAGCAGCACTGTTAGTCCACATTACCGATAATAATAATAATGACCTTTATTTTTTCCCACAAATAGTACATTGCAGTTTATCTTTTTCAAACATATTTTTTCCACAAAACAAAGAGCATGGGAGACGAGTCCAAACTAGGATACCCTGTGCTATGGATCTCCCGGCTTCCCCTTTAGGATGATCAACTACATTTTTTTTATCGACGACTATAAGCGGGGAAATCCCCTTCATTAAAGTTTTCGTTCATGGTTTTGGCAACGCATTTATTTTGCTTTATTCAGTTTTAGTCAGTTGTTTAGAGCACAGCTAAGTTAAAAGTTACTTAGAGTAGTACTAACTACTGTTGACAGCAATTGCCATAATTATAAGTCGATGTCCTGCGAAGTATTGATACATCAAAAAATATTGCCAGAAAAAAACTTAATGTTGTTTTCTTTATTTTGATTATATTTTCTTGAATTATAAATTATAATAAAAAACACAAACTTTGTTTGTAGTTAATTTAGCGCAAAATCTAGGGCTTTTTAAAGCGCTGTTTTCATGAAATCTAGCGCTTTTTGTGTTGTCCTAGCGCTGAATGAGTTTTTTTGATCTGGCAGCACTGCCAAAAAACCCTCTATTAAGAAGTAACTTTCCCTTCAGTTTTAAGCGTGTTCAGTTCCCAGTTACAGTCAGCGTGTGTTTTGCGATGACCGTAAATAAAGTGCAAGTTCAAAATTTACGCGTTGTAAGAGTGGACCTCAGTACTGACTGTTTTGCACATGGCCAACTCTATGTTGCTTTTTCCCGCGTTAGTAGCCCCCGTAACCTTTTTGTGTACACCCCGGCTAAGCCTACTTCTAACGTCGTTTACACAGAAGCTCTATCATAAACTACTTAGAACTTTGATGATAATAATTTATTTGTTACCACTTATTGATACAGTAATGATATAAATCGTTTAATATTCTCTTACCTAAACGACAAATTCTTTATGTAAAATCTATATACGCGAGCTACGCCGCGGGCACAGCTAGTATATAATATATATTAGATATAATATATAATAGGCCTGTTGGTCTAGTGGTTAGTGACCCTGACTGCTATGCCGGAGGTCGTGGGTTCGATTCCCACCCAGGACAAATGTTTGTGTGATGAACACGATCATTTGTTCTGTGTCTGGGTGTAATTTATCTATAATATTTATGTATTTAGAAATATATAAGTATGTTTATCAGTTGTCTAGTACCCATAACACAAGCTCTGCTTAGCTTGGGACTAGATGGCGTTGTGTGATAGTTGTGGAATATTATTATTATTATTATAATATCCATAAAATTAGTGTCCCTTAAAACCAAGAACATTTAGAAGTCCAAAGTCGCCAGTTCAATTAAAACGCAATTTAATAAGTTAGAAGCTAATAAATATATAATAACGGTTTTTACTTCTTAAAACTTAACTGCGTGATTCGCGTAATGAATACAGAGTGCCAAAATTGCTGACTATATATTCCAGCAATACTACAATTAAATTAAAGTAAGATGGCCTGTTTTACAAGGCAATTGCGAAACGAGGCAATTGTCTCCACAGGATATGTATAAAATCTTCGCTTCAACACTCGTACTTTAGCCATTACACGAATGTCGCAGAATCCACCTCCACATTAGTAGAGGTATTCTTGGAATGAGGGACTCCGTGTGAGATTAAGTGCTATATATAATTCTTTTTAATTTTTGTTACTTTTTAAGATTATTTTTTTAAAATTGATAATTATTAATATTTCTTTAAACTGTTTAAATTATGACGATATCCATTTGCAAGTTACATTTGAAAATAAAAATTAAATTTAATCATAAACATGACATAATTACATATTTTGAGTTTGATGTCGATAAGATATAGTGCATAGAATAGTTATTGCCCCGAATTTCGAGTGTGAAATTATTTTCATTCTTTTAAGTGTTGCGGCATTTACTAATGATTAAAATTTAATTTTTTACCCTTTGAAGTAGAAAAATAATATCACATTATCGATGTCGTCTAAATAGTTATATTAAAAAATTCTTCCTCTATTTTTCCCAACATAATGGTAGAATTTTTTTCCAAATTCATATGGGACCACATCTGAAGTAATGTAATAATAATGTCCTCTACACCGCGTTTTGGTCACGGCGGCCAGTGTCAACGTAGACTAGCTGGACAGGATTTTATAGCACTTGAGTGTATGCGCAAGCTGATTTTTGAACCGACAAGGAATTCGAACCCGGAACCTCATGATCAGCCACCGCGTTTACAACCACTATATTAACAAGGCAATCAGTTTTGAAGTAATATATCTATGGCGGCGCTGTCGTCGCGCCACAAGCGAAACACATCGAAGCCTAAATCGCGCTAACAAAGTTCCGAAGTTAAAGCAGTATATATAGAATAGCTCCGAACTACCACTCAGAGCATTGGCCGCTCCTCGGGCAGAACACCTTGCCCAGCGGGAGATCTCTCCTTTTCCTTCCACCGGCTACATACCTATAAAAACATTCAGATAGTTCCAAAATTGACGAAGATACTACGTAATACAGCCCGCGTCGACTTGACAAAAAAGAAATATATATTTGTTGCCTCCTTTTTAAAAATAGCTAAAAATGCTATTCGTTTAAATTGAAATCTTTGTACAAAGGTAACTTATTTCGGGCTGCAAAATAAAGTAAACAATTTTAATTACACGCTGCCTGAATAAACTGTGTAAAATTTGATAAAGTACTAAATTCGAATAATAGACATTACCAGATTCATGGGATTTAAACATTTTGAGAGATCTTTTAGACAATTGTTTTGATGGCGTAGAGTTTTGAATAATCTTTTATTTTAAACTAATATTCCATAAATTTCATCATCGCTTATTTAATTAATTTTAAAATACACAATATTTCTTGCCATATTAAAAAAAAACTTAAATTATCATTCAGTACTACTCCTCCCGTGTCGTGGCAGGCAAGAACCACCCACCTCTACCCCATATCTTCCCGTTGGTGTCATAAAAGGCGAGAGAGGGAAACTGTTGAACTGAAACCAAATTTCCCTACTTTCAGCTCACCGTTCTCTCTTGTGCCTAGTTTTGCATTGAAGTCTCCCATTGACACCGTATATTGGGTTTTGGAGGAATGCATGGCTCTAGAGATATCCTCATACATTTCCTCCACCTCCTCATCGGGGTGTGCCGAGGTTGGTGCGTAAACCTGTATGACCTTCAGCGAATAACGTTTGGTGATTCTGAGTATAAGGTACGCAACCCTCGTCGACACACTCCCGATCTTTACAACGTTGTTAACGAGAGACTTGTGGACGATAAATCCGACACCTCCTTGGGACAGATGGTCGCCCTCCCGGTGATAGAACAAGTTGCCGGATTCGAGGATTACCGTGTCCTCCCCCTCTCTTCGGACTTCGGATAATCCTATAATATGCCAGCGCAACTTGTCTATCTCTTCTTCCAGTTCCACGATCTTCTCGTCAGTCCTCAGGGTGCGTGCGTTGTACGTTGCCAGGTCGAGTCGTTTCTAAGTTGGCAACCGAACCTCCACCGGAGATTCTTAGCACCCCCTGCCCCGCCGTTACCATGGTCGCCACCGTATCCAGGAATAGCGGGGCCGCCGGGGACTGGGGTCCGTCTGTTTGTTGCTTTAATCATTGGGGGGTATTTGCCATAGTTGCCACGCTTGGCGAGCGGGTTGGCAACCGCAGTTTATTTATTGTAATTTTGGCTATTATCAGGAAGATGCAGCTGCCCATCTCCTGCCTGTTTCCCTTTGTGGGCTTTTACGACACGCACGGGAGGATATGGGGTAGTGGATATTCTTGACCGCCATTACACGGCATATACATATATCTATACAAATAAATAAAATTGTACTCTGTTTGAAATGTCAAAATAACAGCTTTTTACTAAACGCATATGAAAGTATATACGGTAGTAATAGGACAAAAAAAAAACTATTTTTAAAGTTCTTGTCTGTCTGTTTGTCTGTCCGTTTGACTGTCTATTTGTTTCGGCTTATCTCTGAAACACCTGGACCGATTTTGACGGGATGTTTACTGGCAGATAGCTGATGTCACAAAAAGTAACTTAGGCTACTTTTATTGCAGAAAAATAATTATGGTTCATCGAAAAAAAAAACTCCAAATAATACGCGGGCGAAATCGCCTTCAACGACCTTACCCAGGCGAAGCCGGGCGAGTCCCTAGTATACATACGTAAAATGTATTCCTAAATAAAGGTGAAATAAAGGTAGTGGTGGTGCAAATAACAGTTACACTTAACATAAATAGCAACAAAGTTAGTTAAGGTAAAATTACAGCCTATATATACGTCCTGAGCCAAGCACAGGCCTTCTCTCATTTCTGAGAGAGTAATGTTGCAATTAGTACGTTGCGTAGCATTTTGGCGGACAACAATATTATCTTTTAAATAGTGTTATTGCTTAGGCATGCTGGCATCCTCACGATGTTTTCCTCCTGCGCAGCGCAGGTGATAAATCAGTGCTTAATATTTACAATTTCATTGGTGCCAGCTTGGATCGAACCCGGGTTTGTTTTGTCTTTTATAATGCGTATATCAATAATTTGCGATATATATTTATATATAATTAAATAATTTTCTGGCGTCTGCCTTTCAGTCCGCATACAATCTGGGCGTCTTCAAGGCCAGACTGAATAGGCTTTTGTTAGCCCTAGATGGTAAGTCGCCCAGTCTGTCTTACCATCTAGGGCTTCATAACCCCTTACTCAGGCAGGATTATAGTCAAGCAATGACATATAATAAGTAAAAAAAAAATATTGAATTTCTCCAACCTATTCTTTCAATGTGAAACTAAACATAAACATTATTTACAGGTGTACCAAGACCAAGAGTGACGTGGTACCTAGAAAACGTTGTGATAGACGATTCGTATGAGCAACGCTCCGACGGAGTCACAGTCAATACACTTACGTTTCCCAATGTCGGACGGCAACATCTGAATGCGCGACTCGTCTGTCAAGCCTCGAATACTAATCTAGCGCCGCCCGAAACTAAAGTACTGATCCTGGACATAAATTGTAAGTGTTCTGATGTTTTATTTGTGTTATTTTAAATGATATAGATTTCAGATATTTAAGCGAACATATACAAATCCTTATTAAATATATGCCAGAATAAATATGAATTAAAGAGATATGAATATAAGAGCTTTGTAAATTCAATATTGCAAAGATATTCATTTTTCAAAACAAAATTGTTGAGACCTTTTAATGTCAAGAGGGATGTCGTTCCAGATTATATACACACAGCCATTACATATTAGATATAAGTGTGTATATATATGCATTTATATACTCGTATTAGGGTAGAGTGATAGTCTTATTTTGATATTCATTATGGCATACCCGCAATAAGCTGTGTGTTGGCTAAATAAGCAAAATAATATATCAAAGTTTATATTTAGAGATGCCCTGGGTAGGACAAAGTTTTATATATATATATATATATATATATATATATATATATATATATATATATATATATATATATATATATATATATATATATATATATTCTTGTTGGGGCACGTCAAACATTTATGTTAAATAAAAGATATTTAACGTACTTCATTCCATTATCCATAGGCAGCTTTTTAATAATATGCAAATTTAACAAAAAAATATCTCCATACATTTTCACTCCACCCACACGCACAGTTTGAAACAACCTTTGTTTTAAAATATGAATCGTAATTACAACCTACAAAGCTGTTACTATAGTAGCTTAACATGAACATATTTAGTTTTCAACGTCAAAATATTAACGTAATAATAACAAAACGGAAGCAATTATAAAACCTACACAACATCATGCACATAATTAGTATTTATAAATGTAACCGACACCATTAAGCGCCTGTTAATTTTAATAAACTACAAAGCATTAATGTCATAGCAACTGATGCGTTACAATAGTATGATTATGTATGAAATTGTGTACGTGGTAGAGCCATGCTGCTGCTATATTATGGTTGTAGCACGAATGGGTCGGCTCGACCGGGGAAGGACCATGCTCTCACAGAAAACCAGCGTAAAATAGCAGCTTAACGCTGCTGTGTTTCGTATGGTGAGTGTAGAGAACCGGAGACCCTTTTTAATGGCAAAGAGGCATTCCATCTTAGTCCTCCCGGGTGACAACGCATCTGCATCTTGAGTTTTTATTCAGGATAGATGTAGATGTCTATGGGTCACAGTAACCACTTATCATCAGGTGGACTGTGTGCTCGTATGTCACCCGATCCTATAAAAAAAAAGTTTTACAAAATTCTAACTATCCCGGCAGACGTTGCATGGCTCTTTACAATAGATGGTGCAATGATTTTTACTTCGGACAATAGAAAGAGAAAAAATATTAATTAATCGACTACAGACCAACTATCTGGTTCAGATTTCCTGATTTTACTTTCTTGGATTAAACAAATATATTATATCTATCATATCTTAGCGTAGTTTATAACCCATTTTATCTACAAAATAATAATATTGTGTGAATATGACCTCAATCGATCAAGTCGTTTAGAAAGTACACGATCACTTACTGACACAAAATAATAAACGCATTCTATTCCAGTGAAACCGATAACTGTGACAATATTGACAAAAGAGAAGCAAGTGTCCGCGGATAAAAAATACGAAGTAGAGTGTAAGACGTCAGGCTCCCGTCCGGAGGCGTCCGTCACTTGGTGGAAGAATAATAGACAACTCAAGCGAATGGCGAAAAACGTGAGCCACTCAGTCCTTTGTCTATTTAGACGTTCCCTTTGTGTCTTAATTAATAGATTCCTTTTTACTCCTCTACTGCCCCTGCATAATGACTTGTGTCCCTCAATTTTTTTTGTAATGTTTTTGCAAATTATATTAGGTCGTTACTGCGGCTTCTCTCACAATGGTGCTTCTTGTTTTTGTTTTCTTATCGTTTTGTTTCTTTCTCGTGCTGCTTTCAATGGAAACTTTGTTTTTGATGCCTTTGTTTTGAAATACGATATTTAAAAATACTGTTCCATTTTAAACGCTTTAGTTTATTTCTTTGTTTACACTGTTTTGCTTTTTAATTTGCACCTACTTAAAACAACTACCGTTTTATTTACAGCCTTTCTTGTTTGTATTGTGTTTTTATACATTAAATTTTGAATACATTTTAATGTACCTTTAACTTTTTTACTATAGAATACTAAAAATTTTAAAAGTATCATAAAAAAACCTATATATATATTCATAAAATGTTGCAGTTCTCGGAAAACAACGAAACACTTAGTGTGCTTACCCTCGTACCTAGCATGGAAGACGACGGTAAATATTTGACGTGCCGCGCAGAGAACAAACACATACCAGATTCAGCCATCGAAGATAAGTGGAGGTTGAACGTGCACTGTAAGTATACAACATACACAACAAAGTTAAGATAGATTGAACATTTTGAGGAAATTCTTATTTCGTTGCAATAAAATTTTATATTAATCTTCAAAATTTTAATGCCTATTTACAGGGGTTTGCTTATGGGTTTATGGCATTACCTGTGTATATTTAACCGAACTAAAACAATTTGCAAAAAGTTATATTTACGCGAACACTACACATTGAATAATATATAATAAAGTATAATAAAAATCTCAATACCTTTTCAAATTTGTTTTATGTGATAAAAAGGAGAGAATATTTAAAAAAAATTTTCTTCACCATTTGCCTATATTACTTATTCTGAACCTTCTCTGCAAACTGCAAATTAACCCTGTATATAAAAATCAATAGCTACCCGTTAGTCTTACTAAAACTCGAAACTGGCTCAACTGATTTTAATAAAGTTTCTTGTGTGTTTTTGAGTAGGTCTCTAGATGCTTTAGATTCATGGACCCGCTAGGTGGCATTGTTATCTAGATCTAGATATCAGCCGTACAAAGCCGGAGTGAATCACCAGTATAATATCTAAATCTCTTCCTATATCTAAAAATAAATTAAAACATTATTATCTTTCCTCTTAAGTTACTACCTGTCGTCATTCACTTTTTTTTCCTTTAATCACTTATGTTCTTCTATTTATCTTTCTATATTATATTCTGTACACCCCTTCCGCTATCTTTTAAAAATAGTATTCTCTGCCCTAAGGTTGCCTGGAAGAGATCGCTGTTTTAGCGATAATGCCGCCTGATGTACCAATGTCCTTTTAAATATATAAATAGTGTAATATGTTCCTTGGTGTACAATAAAGTATATTTTACTTTACTTTACTTTAATATATAATACAAAATATAATTTTTAGTCATATTACTATATTAAGTATAATTTTATAATTTTACACATAACAAAAAGTTACCGTTACCATAGGTACTACCTTTGATACCGATGACCGTGTAAGGACGGTGTAAAAATATCAACTACCCCATATCGTCCCGAGAAAACAAGCCAGGAGATGGGCAGCGGCGTCTTACTACATCATCATCATCATCATTACAGCCCTTCACAAGTCCACTGCTGAACATAGGCCTCCCCAAAAGAATGCCACAAAGCACGGTCCTGAGCCACCTGCATCCATCGACTTCCTGCATGTTTTACCAGGTCGTCACTCCGTCTCGTGGGGGGACGCCCTACACTTCGCCTACCGGTACGAGGCTGCCACTCGAGAACCTTTCTTCCCCATCGGTTGTCGGTTCTTCAAGCTATATGGCCGGCCCACTGCCACTTCAGCTTACTAATCCGTTGGGCTATGTCGGTTACTCTGGTTCTACTGCGGATATCCTCATTCCTAAGTTTATCACGCAGAGAAACTCCGAGCATAGCCCTCTCCATAGCTCGCTGAGCGACCTTGAGCTTCCTCATACGGCCAGCAGTGAAGGACCACGTCTCAGTTCCATAAGTCATCACTGGCAACACACACTGGTTGTACAATTTCGTTTTCAGGTTTTGAGGTATGTCTGACGAGAAGATGTGTCGTAGCTTCCCGAACGCTGCCCAGCCGAGTTGAATCCGTCGATTGACCTCTCGGTCGAAGTTGGACTTACCTAGTCGGACTATTTGTCCCAGGTAAACATACTCGTCAACAACTTCGAGCTTAGTGCTCCCAACAACTACCGGCATAGGTGTGACATGGACATTGAACATGATCTTTGTTTTGTCCATGTTCATCTTAAGACCTATCCGTTGGGAAACACTATCGAGGTCATTGAGCATAGTGCTTAGGTCCTCCAGCGATTCTGCCATAAGGACTATATCGTCGGCAAATCGAAGGTGAGTGATGTACTCGCCATTGATGTTGATACCGTATCCTTTCCAGTCTAGAAGCTTGAAAACGTCTTCCAATGCAGCGGTGAAGAGTTTCGGGGATTTGACGTCACCCTGTCTTACACCTCTCTGCAATTGGATAGGTTTCGTACTCTGGTTCTGTACTCGGATAGCCATCGTAGCCCTACTGTACAAGCACTTCAACACTTCGATATACCGACAGTCAACTTGGCACCGCTGAAGGGACTGCAGCACCGCCCAAATTTCGACGGAATCAAAGACTTTCTCATAGTCCACATACGCCAGACATAGTGGCAAATTGTACTCCTCGGTCTTCTGTACAATTTGCCGAAGGGTATGTATGTGGTCTATGGTGCTAAAGCCCTTTCGGAAACCGGCTTGTTCGGGAGGCTGGAAGTCGTCAAGTCTGCGCGCGAGACGATTCGTAATGACTCTCGAAAACAGCACGTAGACGCGGCTCAGAAGGGAAATCGGTCTGTAGTTCTTCAAGAGAGCGTTGTCACCTTTCTTGAAGAACAAGACCACCGCACTTCTGCTCCACGCCTCCGGTGTAATGCCACCATGGAGGACGGAATTAAAGAGCTTCTGAAGGACTTCAAGTACCGGTCTTCCACCCGCTTTCAGAAGCTCCGCTGTAATTCCATCCTCGCCTGGGGCCTTACCGTTTTTAAGGTGCTGAAGAGCCATTCTAATCTTGCTCAGACTGACGTCCGGGATATCTTCGGAATAGTATCGGATGAGACTCGCTCTTGGATCGTTACTCACACTTGCGTGTGGCTCCAACGTCATCGTTGGAGCCACACGCGTCTTACTACCTATCTATCTATTACTGCTTATAAAAGTCCACTGCTGGCCTATCTTCAGCCATCATTGATTGCCTCATGGGGGATTTCTTCATAGTTGGCACGCTTGGCAATCGGGTTGGCAACCACAGATTTTTATTATTTTGAGTTGTCATCTGGAAGATGCTGCTGCCCATCTCCTATTTCATTTTCCCTCTGTCGCCTCTTACGACACTAATCTTATGCTTCATTAATCCATGTATTATTGAAACTGAAGGTAACTGTTGTAGATATGAGAAAGTGAAGGAAATAATATTTGGGAAATTCAAAAGGATAATAGTAGGCAAAACGGTAGTAAGTTACTGTTAAATAAAATACGCTAAGAATATTTGAATCAGTAAAAATTGGATTTATTAATTAAGTGCTCTTTATACGTAATTACATGCTATAGACAGAACAAGAATTCAGTGTTGTCACTGAATAATGTTCATATTTTATTGATATATATTCAAGAAGAATATTGGTTATTATATTCAAGAAGCAATATTTTTCTTGTAACAGAGATGTAGTGCACAGTTGTGCAATAGATTTATGTTATTGTGGAAATAGGTGCATTGTAACAAATGAATACTTGGGTAGGACTACTTTTGTACCATATTCCGGCGTAATCGATATAGCTATAGCAAGCATAATTATATCTTATTCCTGTGAGGTTATAAAGCATCTGTGGCCTTCCTTGTTTGAAACTGGTGCAAATATACCTGAACTGTGGAAGCCAATTACTAACATGTTGTAAATATTTGAATGCAACAAAATTAAATTTTAATAATATATATAACAGTTTTTTTCACCTATAAATAAATATTACTAATTATACTATTTTTATCTTATATATTATTATTTATGTTATATAAAGCTTTTTTTTACAATGTTAATGTTTTGTACATATTATTTAATAATAATGAATTAACTTTATAATTTATGTGTTATGTGAACAGTTTTTAATCAGCACAGGAATCAAGCAAACAGCTAACCGCACTTAACCAGCACTTAATAATTCGGCAATCACAGGTTTATTCACAGACATAACGTTTCGTACATACGAGAACAGCGCTGCGCAGTAATAATCACTTTAATTGTCATTTTAATTGTCACTTTTTTTTAACAGTGGTAGAGCCACGCGGCAGCTTTTGCTTTTGCTTTTGCCACGGATGGGCCGGCTCGAACCGGGGTGGTACCACGAGCTCACAGAATACCAGCGTGAAGTAGAGGTTTACCTCTGCATTTCGCTTGGTGAGTGCAGGTGGCCGGAGGCCCTTTTTACTGGAAATGAGGCATTCCATCTTAGTCCTCACGGGTGACAACGCATCTAGGATTTGTAATAGAGGATAGATGTAGATGTCTATGGGTCGCAGCAACCACTTACCATCAGGTGGACTGTGTGCTCGTTTGTCACCCTTATCCTATAAAAAAAAACTTAAAGTGGGGAAAAAGTGAGCGTCCATATACAAAATATTGCAAAGGGTTTTTACTGTACAATTTCAGTTGAAAAATTAGGCAGTAGAAATTGCAGAAACTGAAATGGTTATTCTTGATATATTTTTTTCACAATTACATCTTTGACTCTCTTTATAAATTATTGTTTGTTAGCACCCAAGGGCTGCAGTAGCTCTCAAAAATTTAGGTGACCCGTAAACAAATTTCGACTATTTCAAAATGGAAGCAAAATTAGACACATCTGCGAAAGATTTAAATGAATTTCTAAAACGACACGTTAAAGCATAAAGACAAGGTTAAAATTGTCGTAGTTTTCTCGGCAAAATCCTCCAACTCTGTGATATTACTATCTGCAATTTGTTCCTTCTTAACTTTATATTACTTCATAAATTTTAATTGAATGCTCTCGTGGGATAACGACTCAAAATAAAATTTGCTTATTATAGTTTAATCTGTGGGAACCTTAGAAAATGCGCTATTACATTTCTTGGGCATAATATACTTACATATATATTTATTATTAATAATAAAGTATCATACAATTTGTTAGGGTAATAGTAGTAATAGTGATAAACAAGCACATTCCACGTGATGGGGTACTTTGGCCTTTAGACATCTGCATCTACAATCGATTAAGGATCAAATTTAGATGCGTTGACTGTCAGATGCACAAGATGGAATGCCTCGTACACAGTAAGTTTACCTGTGTAATAAAATTTTGCAGAAAAATTTGGATGTGTATATCTGTTTAAATACGTTATACGTCGGTTATTTATTAGAAAAAAAAAGAATAGGAGAAAAGAGCGCATGTTTATTCTTTACTACAACACTATGCAGCACAAGAAACAAAAGACAACAATATTCATAATTAATATTGGCAATGAAACGGTAACTAGGCGGTAGTGTTCCCTTTTCGCCTATGAGTCCATTTGGGTAGGTACCAACTTCTCAACTATTTCTGTCGTCGAATAGCAGCACGTGAACTGCTATATTATGTTATACGGTATTATTTGAAGATTATCGATAACCTGTTTATTTACAAACTCTTGGGCATTCCATCTTAGTCCGCAGAGGTGACAGCGCATCTATAGCTAACTTTATTTGAATTTGGCTGTAGTAGTCACTTATTATTGGGTGGCGTGTAAGTTCTTTTGTCATTTTTTTTAATCTGTCAGTCGTAGAGTCGTAAAACTGCACGTCAGGAGTGAAAACTTCTTAGCTTCCCAAACTTATACTTAAACATTTTTTTTTGGGTTGTTAAGAAATATTTGTTTGAAAGTACTTTTTTCTTAGACACTTTTGATCGCACGGGTGATTTCGGGAGCTCGACAACAGCGCTATTTACCGGGTCCAATTGTGAATTAAACCATCCGCGCACAAAACATTTCATTAGAATCGGTCGAAACAGTTTCGAGTTTTAGCAACATTGCCGCACAATTTTCTTTCTGCTGGTAAGGTACCATAATAGAGTATTAAAACGCTGTCATAAGACTTTTTTGCATAACATGTAAAACGGAAACAATCTCTGTATTTTTTATTATTTTATTAAATGTGAGCAAAATACGAGATTCAATTAACCGTGTTGGCTCAGATAACAAACGCTCGGTTCTAAATTTTATATTAAGCAAGTAAAACTAGGTCGATCGCCGCCATCATCAATAAATAAAATCTGATTTTCCACGTACTCGGCGATACAGGAAAACACTGTGGAGAAATTTGTTTGTCGTAGAAATTAAAAATTAGTATTTCGAGGATATGAACAGTCCGTCAACAAACAATGAGACAACACGGTAGACTCTTCCTCTTCTAAAACCCACTCATAATTGAGTAGAATCGTGTTGACACCATTCATTGATTAATTCTTTTTCATTGATTTTATTAAGTATATTAGTAAAAGTTAAAAAAGTATAATGGATGAACAGATTTTTTTTTTTATAGGATAAGTGTGACAAACGAGCACACAGTCCACCTGATGGTAAGTGGTTGCTGCGGCCCATAGACATCTACATCTATCCTCTGTTACAAATCAAAATGTAGATGCGTTGTCACCCGTGAGGACTAAGATGGAATGCCTCATTTCCAGTAAAAAGGGCCTCCGGCCACCTGCACTCACCAAGCGAAACGCAGAGGTAAACTTCTACTTCACGCTGGTTTTCTGTGAGGTCGTGGTACTACCCCGGTTCGAGCCGGCCCATCCGTGCGACAGCAAAAGCTGCCGCGTGGCTCTACCACTGTTAATAGAATAATTTTTATTCAATATGGATTATTACATAATACTTATTGAAAGTCATTATTTTATTTTCCACTGGTTCGGAAAATACCTCTGTCCTGGGAAGAACCAGCAAGAAACCCAGCGGGACTTTTTTTTTAAACATAATTTCACTTAACAATAATTTTGTTTATACAATTATATGAAGAATGTGTACATATTTAATTTTAAATTACTGTATAAATTTGAGTAGCTACCTTTTAACATATTAGATTGAAGACGTACAAGTAATGGTAATTAAAAAAAAATAAGCTCAGACGTCTTTCCAATTTATAAAGTTATATAAAATGAACAATCTATTCTCCTCTGAAAGGATAAAACATTTTAATCAAATGATTTTGTTACAGATGTTCCTATCGTTGATCTCAAGATGGGATCCAATTTGAACCCTAACGAGATAAAGGAAGGGGACGATGTTTACTTCGAATGTACAGTGAAGGCGAATCCGAAGACTCATCGATTAGTTTGGTTTCATGACGTGAGTTATTTTTGGAAAATGACTTTTCATAGACTTTTTTATTTTATTTAAATTAGCGTTCACCGAATAGTTGTGATGTTTTCTTTAATTTTTTTAATGCTCTCTTTTTAAAATAACCTTACCCTTACCCTATTTTTTTTCCACGATTTTCTCCAGTATCGTGGAGGCAGTTTATAAGCATAGTCGTAAATGATAGAAGCTTCGCCATGGAGCCGTCAAATATAATTCCGTGCCAAATATAGCATGGTATAAAAATCTGCTTGTGTGATCTCTAAGAATATTTATCTATGAATATAATTCACGCAAATTATTGAAATTTCACATAATGAAATGTGGTTACTCAAGAGGTTGAAAATTGGAATTTACAACTGAAGCGACTAGTTTTGGAAACTATAAAAGATAACAAATACTTTTTGTGATCATCATGTGATGTATATTTTACAACTGTATTATTTTTAAAGACTAATGTTTTAACGATAATTGAAATAATATTTGTAAATTCTAAAAAAGTAAAGAAAACTTGAACCTTAAGCATACTTTTGTATTCATCGTACGTGTTACGTAAATGTATACTTACAATACCTATGAAGATCCCATGAATGCCGTAAGAGGCGGCAGAAGAACACAAATCAGAAGATGGGCAGCACCGTTTTCCTAAAAGCAACTTAAAAAAATTCGAACTTAAAACAAAACAAAAAATTTCCATCCGCCTATCAAGCACAGCAATCATGCCAAAAAAAATAAGAGACAATCTTTGGGGAAGGCTTATCTTCAGAGGTAGAAAAATGGACTGTAATGGTAATGTCAAGAAGATAATTTATTTGATAATTGAAAGGCAAACTGAGAAATAACAGCATAATGTATTTGGATAACACATGCACTATCTATAAAACGGATCTTGTAGATACATTTCAGAGAATGGCAGCTGTAATTTAATTAAAGACTAACTTAAGTGTCAGGGTTTCTTCCAACTATTAGATATCTTACGAAGTGTGTCTAGCAAGAAACTTAAATAATTGTACATATTCTTGACTTGAGTTTCCCGAAATTATAGACATTACTTTGTGTGTTCTGTTTTATCTATCATTTGAATTAATTATATTTTTAGTAATATTTAGATAAACGGTATTTAAAAAAATCAAGTATTTAAAAATCGCTTAACATCACTCTGGACTGTTATGTCCACTATTGGACACGTTGTTCTGATATAATATATTTCATATTATAAGAGTTACTACATTATCATTATCATTAATACAGCCCTTCAGAAGTCCAATCCTGAGCCACCTGCATTCATCGACTTCCTGCATATCTTACCAGTTTGTCACTATCTAGTGGGGGGTTGCCCTAAACTTCGCCGAGTTTACCACACGTCGGTACGAGGTTCCTCTCGAGAACCTTTCTTCCCCATCGGTTGTCAGTTTTTTGCCGGTTTATTGCCACTAAAACTTACTAACCCGTTGGGCTATGTTAGTTAACTTGTCTTACTGCGGATATCCTCGAAACGGATCTATCTCGCAGAGAAACTCCAAGCATAACCCTCTCTATAGCTCGCTGTTCGACCTGGAGCTTCCTCCAGTTATTTAATATTTAAGTTATTTATATTATACAGACTATTTTTGAATGAAATATTTTGGGTGCTGTTGCAAATGTGACAAAATTTTAAACCCTCATAGAATACGGAGATTTTTCACAACGAGGCGTCTGGCGTTGTTCTGAGTGCTCAGAGTCTCGTACTGCAGAAGGTCACTCGCTTAGCGGCTGGAGACTACACCTGCATGGCTGCTAACAGTGAAGGGAAAGGGACAAGCAATCCAGTCTCATTACAAATTCGATGTAAGTATTATTTTAATCAAGTTAAAGTTTATCATAATTATTTAATTGAAAGAAAAATTAATACAGAAATAAACTTTAAAAATTAAAAAAAACGATAACTAACAATCGGAATTTCAAATTTTGAAAATAATTTATTGAAAAATAATTAAATATAACAGTTAAACAGGAATTAAACACAGGAAATCAAATCCCTTGAATTAACAACGTGATTGCCCTAACGTAATTAACAGATAAATGATCACTATACATCATTTCTTGCAAAAATAAATAAAGATTTTTTTTTATATTCACGCGAATACTAGATATTAAGTGAAACCAATTTTAACGTCGTCAATTGCCGCTAATTAAACGTCGGAATTAAAAAATTGAGATTAAATGCGATAAAATCCGTAAAATTATACTTTATATTTAACTTTATATACATATTTGTTAAATGAAACTCATTTAACAGATATGTATATAAAGTTAATAACTTTAGGACAAAGTTGAAAGTGTATTAGAATGTTAACTTTGCTTCTGTTCCTTTTCTTATTCCGAAAATTAATGTAATAGGGATTTTTACATAAACGTTTTAACACTATTAAACTCTAAATTGAAAGTAGACTATAGTTTTTGGGCTTACTAGAAATTGTAACGTAACTTAATTTTAATACACATAAAAAAGACAACAATTTACTATAGTAAACGGCCTAAAGATATTAATAAAAATCTAACTGGAATCATGAAATCTGAAAAAAAAAAAGAGTTGTTTTGATATTCGTCTTCTGGCTAATGTATAGAAAAATAAAACGCGTGTAACGAACAGCTTGCTTTTAAGTTCTTACTAGCGCCATCTCACAGTCATTAAAATCACTATTTTACCCAATATTTTGATACATTTTATTAAAAGATGGCATCACTGCTGGCATTTATTATTTATACCGAAGCCTATTTATATTAATTGTTAATTTCTCAGCATTCTCGTTTGATACGGAAAAACTAATAATACTTTTGTAATCTATAGAATATAAGGAATAAATCGACATGTATTTCATTAAGTTAGGCCATAATGTGTTGTAGGCCCATTCGCCATACAAAAAGAAATTGTTTTGCTTTCAAAGGTAATATCGAGAAATACTAGGCTGATGCAACGGATTTACTATACCATTTCCACAAAGTAGCGTTTAGTGTAGGAGGAGCATTACTGGAGATTCTGCGGATACAGTGCCACCTCGTTAAGTGAGAGTTATACTGCAAGCTTATTTCAGCGCCCGACGTTGCAATACATAGTGTAATAAAATTTTAGAGCGGACAGTCGAGACACTCCGTAATAAATAAAAGCATTTATTACTGAAATAACTTAAGCGGTTAAACTGTCCAATTAGTAAATAGACAAATCTTACATTTTAAGCAATGTTATCTTTAATAACACACTGAAATATATGTCATTATTTAAGTTTTATTTAAAAACTTGTTTAGTAATCAGTGTTTTATCTTTGACACAGAGAAGAAATTAAATGTCAGTCAAGACAAGAAATTTGGCTTATATTTTTTTTATATTATAAAGAAAATATATAATATTATATAATATAATTATAATATAATAATATAATATTTGCAAAGGATTTTACTTTCAGAAGAAAGCCGGCGAGGTTAGCTAAGTTTTTTATCCTTATTTTATAGAAGACGGCAAACGAGCATGTGGCTCACCTGATAGTATGTGACTACCGCAGCTCATAAACCACTGCAACACTAGGGGAATTGCAGGCCTTTTCGAAAGGCGTAATCTCTTTCCTTGAAGGTCCCTAAGTCATATTAGTCCGAAAAATTTCCAGTAGTAAACAATTCCACAAAGAGGTCGTACAAGGAAGAAAAATCCTAGCAAACAGAGTGGAGGACCGCCAAGCATCCAGCAATTGTTAACGATAATACAAAACTAGAAACGAATGAAGTCAGCGATAAGTCACAACACAGTTACGTGTATTGATATGTTACTATGTACCATGTACTATCGATTGTAGAAAGTCAACTTGGCTTTATTTTTTAAAGTGAAAACTTTTTTAGGCCACACACACATAAAATTTATGAAAGTAATGTTGAAAAACCAATTGATTAAATTTTATAAAATTTATAGGTATTTATTAATTTTTTTGTATTATATAGATTAGATAATAATCATTATTTTTAATTTAAAACAGCGCAATAAATGAAACTTTTATTACTGTATTAATACGTTGATCAAAATAGTTTATAATAAAAATATTTTTCAATAAATACTTCTTAACGATTCAAAAGTAATGTTTACAAGTTTGTGAATGACGTGCAGTCCTACGACTGACATTTTTTGACTAATTAGCGCCAGTGAAACCCAAGACAGTACAAAATATCATGAATGTCACATTTTGTTTCAAGTAGATATTTTGAATTGTCAGTGACACGTTTCGCAGACAGAGAGAACCTTTTTTTTTACATATACTTTAGCCGTATTTAGGGTACAGAAAATTGGATATTGTTGGAGCCAATTTAGTTTAGCATGTTTTCATGATCAATCTTATCGAGAGTATTTTTGCCAACGAGTAAAGTAGTAACATATAAATTTCGCCAGATCAGATCGCTTTGATTTCCTTTTTGATAGAATTCAACAAAAACAAATACATAGATATATTCTTCATCGTACATGTAAGCCTAAATATGAAGAAGAGGAAAAAGTATATAGATAGATCAAAGTTAAAAATGACATTAATAATTTTATGAATATTTCCTAAAACCAGCCAGCCCTATTTTGGGTTTACCACCCAATCATTTTATTATCGGGAGCTGATGTGGAGATCGTCGAACTGGATTATTTAAAGAGCGACATTTAACAGGTCAACTCGGCTGGAAAACTGCTGGTCATTTTGGGATAAGATGGTTGAAGGAGTACATGCCTACCTTGATACCTCGAACGGGAGATAACGGAATGTTTATAGAGCCAAAATTGCGTTACACTGTCTTAATAATAGATCATTCGTTACCACGTAACACATGAATTTGCTCTTTTTATTACTGAAAAGGCTTAAGAAATAAGACTAATACTCAAATACTCAAACGTTACTCAATTTCAAGTCGCCGTTAAGTCTCATGCTATCTCTATCACTTTAAGTCAAAGTGACAGTGACGCCACGAGATTTAACGGCATCTTAAAATTGAGTACCGTTTGAATAATTGGGCATAAGCCACGTAGGATAAATGTGATTTGTTTGAAATCTTCTAAATATTTACAATTTTTCAGATATGCAAGTTTTCTCACCGTGTAGTGGCCATATCATCCCATGTGTGTCGTAAGAGGCGACAGAGGGAAACAAATCAGTAGATGGGCAGCAGCGTCTTCCTAATGACGACTAAAAATAAAAACCTGTGGTTGCTGACTCGCTTACCAAGCGTCTCAAATATGGCAAATATCCCCTAGGAGATAATATAAATAGGGGAGGCCTATGTAAATCAGTAGAATTTAATAGGTTATAACGGTAACCGTAACGGCAAGTTTTCTCAGAAATATTTTCCTCACCCCCGAGTACAAGGCAGATCCACTTGTCCTTCTTTATCAAAACATAAATTTCGTTGCTGGACATTGGTATCTCCCGTAGCATGGAGGATAAGCTATAATCGCTACTCTTGGCAAGCACATTGGTGATTGCAATATCAGACGTATCGTACCTTTGACTCCTCCCCGTTCCCGGTCTATGCATTTTGCGCCAGGAAAGTCGAAAAGTATCGTGGTAAACAATGTAGTAAATGATCGTGGTAAACGGGGTGAATTCGATATGATTTAAATTTACAAATATTTCAGTTGAGCCAGCAAGGATGGAATTCTCTTTACTCGCGTCGATCTACTGTGTTACCACGATCAATGCTATTTTTACGTGGTAGAGCCATGCTGCAGTTATATTAGTAGTATAGTTGTAGCACGAATGGGTCTGCTCGACCGGAAAAGGACCACGCTCTTACAGAATACCAATGTAAAATAGCAGCTTAACACTGCTGTGTTTCGTATGGTGAGTGAAGAGAACCGGAGGCCCTTTTTACTGGAAAAAAGGCATTGCATCTTAGTCCTCACGGGTGACGACGCATCTGCATTTTGATTCTTTATTGAGGATAGATGTAGATGTCTATGGGTCACAGCAACTACTTACTATCAGGTGGACTGTGTGCTCGTTTGTTACCATATCCTATAAAAAAATCACATCATGAATTTAAAAAAAAAACACTATATCGAAATCAAGCGGAAGTGTTCATTACATCTTAAAACGGAAGCGTTTGTCTTGTCTAATAGAATCGCGGGGGTCACTTAAACACAGGAAGTGCAATTTACCTGTTCAGCGGTTAAAGAGCTTACAACGTAGGTTACCCAGATGTCTCTAACGGCATTTGTTTTCCCATTAAAATGTCTGCACACAGTAATTATCTTAGGGGAGGAACTTAGCCTATAAAGCTCTTAAATTTGCAACAATGTTACTTAGTTATCAATCTCAGCTGCCTTGATAGTTTATTCAATTATTTTCTAAAGCTTTGGTCCTCCTTCAATCATTACGACCTTTGTAAATTTACAATCTAGTTTTATAACGATCCCCTGTTAAACGTCGTACTGTTAACACAGAATGGCTTTATTGGAGTTGAAGTTGTTGTTTTGAATAGTTTCTGGTTTAGTTAGTGCTGTATAAAATTGTTTTATATTGTTCGGTGACATTTGTTACTCTTGGTTGTAGAAATGTAACCACGTTGTTTAGAAATTTGCGGAAACCTTACTTGATTAAACATATATTTAAACATTATTATTATCTTTAACTAGAATTTCGAAGTAGAGTAGTCATATAAAAGAAGAAAGTAGCACAATGATTTCTTATATTTTCGGGAATAATAGATATTAAATTAAATTTGCTAGATGCTACGTTTTTTTTCGATAGTATTAGACCTGTTTTAAGAACAAAATTTAATCTGTTTTTAAACCACGTTGATAAACTGTATAACTAAACCCACATTGCTCTTACTATTTTAAAATATTGTCTCCTTGTACCTAAATTTACATAGTTACTCCGCTCGAGTCCAGTTTGGAAATGTTCGGATATTTTAAAAGATAACATTAAAAATAATCTTGAAATTATTTTAGAAAACATTCTAAGTTTAACTTTAAATACAACACACAAGCTACTTTACATATAAAATTTGATGGTATTGGTGTGAGAAATCTTTCTGGCGTTGCTTTTCCTGCTTTTTTTGCTTCCGTGCATAGTGTCAGTGACTTATATAACATCATTTTAAATAATAAAGTAGACCTGTGCTTTGCTACGGAGACAGGGCAGACATGGCGAACGCTCTATCGCTCGAACGGTGAAAATGTTCCACTGGAAGTTAACCAACAACAACAGTGGGATATTCCGTTGGTATAGAGCGTGCTTAAAGATTTGTTTCATAATTTTCATAGTGACCAAGATCAGGTACGACTTCTAGCTGTTTCGACTAAGGAATCTAGTTACTGGTTACACCCTTTACCATCAAGTAAACTCCGCACATTGCTTGATGGAAAAAACTTGTGCATCGCCGTAGGAATCCGACTAGTAGCGGCGATTTGTCAACCCAATCAGTATCCCTGTTTTAACAGCGTCGATAAGTTTGGGCTCAACGGGTTTTTATGTAAGAAAAGTGCTGGTAGGTTTTCACGACACAGTTCTTCGAACTATGTCATCCCATGGGCTCTTGTCACTAAAAAAATTTTAGAGACGATAGCAGGAGACCCGACGATACGACATTGTTCTCTTGGAAAAGAGGTAAAGCCCGAGTGTGGGATACTATTTGCGTATACACTTTGGCGTCCTCTCATCTCAGGGGTACCTCGTTTAGAGCCGGGAAGGCATTAAAGGTATCTGAACTGGGTAAGTTGTCCAAATATGGTTCTCTGAGATATGACTACATATTTATGCCATTTGCTGTAGAGACTATCGGCCCGCAACTGGCCGTTGCTACAAATGATAAGAGGGCTGGTTATTTTCTCGCTCAAAGGCTAAGTATAGCTAATATATTCAGCGAGGAACTGCAGCCAGCGTTCTTGGCACAATACCACAGGGAGTAGGACTCTATGATAATTAAGTTATTGTTTTAGTTTTTTTTTAATTATAGTTTTTTCATATTGTATATAATAACATATTGTATATTATACCATGTAAATAATATACTGATATACGTGGTAGAGCTACGCTGCGCATTATTATAGTTGTAGCACGAATGGCTCGACCGAGGTAACAATGCTCTCACATAATATCAGCGTAAATAAGCATTTTAATGCTGCTATGATTCGCATGGTGAGTGTAGAGAATCAGATACCCTTATTACTGGAAACGACGCATTCCATATTAGTCCTCACTGTGTGCTCGTTTGTTACTAAGAGTAACAAACGAGCACATAGTGAGGACTTCCTTATTTAAAAAAAATAACATTTGCTCCGACCTTCGATGAACGAGATCAAAGTATCTTGAAGTCTTGCACTAGTATGCTTATGCTTGGATTTAATTTAAATATTTATGGGATACCAAGAAGATGGATTAAATGCCACCATTAAAGATTAGTCAGTTTTTAATATCCGTCAAATGTATTGTATAGTATACCGCGTGAGGACAAACCGATAACCAAAATAATTTGTTGGCCGTTGGTCCTTAAGTAGTAACATATTTTTTTTTACAACAAATATATTTTTTTATTTTTGTCCGCCTATCCACTTACACATATAATTCCGTGTGTGTCGAAAGAGACGACAGAGGAAAATAAAACGGATGATGGGAAGCAGCATCTTCTGGGAAATAAAATGGTTCTGTTGTGTGGCTGGCTATATCGCTTGATCTTGCGCTTTTAGATTATTTTCTCTGGGGGTTTATCAAAAAAATAAATAAAACTACGTACAATAAAATTAATGAACTAAAAAAAATTATTAGGAAAAATTCAAATCGAAGTCAATAATATTGTGATGCAGAATGCAGTTCAATGAGTCGTCGATTCTAGTAATGGTTTAAAGCTAGTTTGAATAATTTGTAGAGAAATTTCAATAAAACTAAAATAGTATTTTCTTAACTTCAGATCTTTTTTTGTTTGCATTTAATATTACTTCGCAGGATTTAATCTCTAAGGTGAACACCTAGATTTGTATTCACCTTAGAAATATATATAAAAAAATGATTAAAAACAGCCTGTATTATTGCGTCATCTTAAAGTGTCGCTATAATACAGACTGTTTTTTTTGTTCTTCTTTATTTTATTAATATAATTTTTTCAAGTCGAATATATGAAAATTTATATAAATTATTAAGGTTGGACTCAACTGCGTGATTCTGTTTATATTATATCTGAAATTATATTATAAAAACAGCTACAATTCTACCCTTGATGTTTCTGAAAAAAAAATTAAATCGGTCCAGTTTCAAAATAGGAAAAAGAAGAATTCGTGATGATAATATAGTCGATTTCTCATAGATATAATAAATTCATGCTGCAAATGTCTCTCAATGTTGGATAGCTCGGTTGTACTGGCACAAGTGGAACAGCAATATATTGTAAAGAACTATTCTTCAAATTCCCTGAAGCCCAGATACTATCCTCTTATATGGGTACATTATACATTATACACGCTGCAGCTGTATAATGGTTGTAGCACGAATGAATCAGCTTGACCTGGGTTGTACCACGCTCTCACACAATATCAGCGTAAAATAGTAGCATAATTCTGCTGTATTTCGTATGGTGAATATATAGAACCAGAGATCCTTTTAACTGGAATCGAGGCATTTTATTTTAGTCCTCAGGGAAGACAACGTATCTGCATTTTGATTCTTAATTGGGGATAAATGTAGATGTCTATGGGACCCAACATTCACTTACCAGCAGTTGGACTGTGTGTTCTTTTGTCACCCTTATTCTATAAAGATAAAATATGTAGGAATTATAGTTATCGAAAAAACACAAAAATTAACACACAAAAAAATATGATCCGATAGAAGTTCGTTCGCTAAATCGACTAGAAATATAGACATATTAACATCTTAGCAATATAAGTAACTTTAGAACATACAATATCGTTATTTCTTTGAATATGATATTAAATGTGAAATTCTTATTATATTAAATTCTTATAATATTCTTATGATATTAAATATATCATTAGGAGAATGCAATTTCTTATCTGACGTGAATTCATTTCCTGTACAGATGCTCCGGTCTGCGCCGAGATGAAGGACAATGAGCTGTACGGAGCTCTGAAGCACGAGACGGTATCGCTTCACTGTGCGGTAGACGCCAATCCCGCTTTAGTCTCTTTTCATTGGACGTTCAATAACTCTGGCGAACAGACTGAACTACCGCCGAGGTATGCATATTATAGTGATTTCAAGTTACCTTTAAATATATGCAAATTTTTAATTATAAGTACTTTGCTTTAGGAATATTGACCTTAACGTAGATATGTTGCATTAATAAATTCAACGTTTACTATTTATTATTGTTATATAATTATTGTTATAAATTTATAAATTAAATTGTTCTAAATCTGAATTCTGAAAAGTAGTTATTTAGAAGGAGTTACAATAACATAATTGTAATGGTTACGAATCAACAGAACGAATTATAAAATTAGCAGGAAGTCGATAGATGCAGGTGGCTTATGACTGTACTTTGTGACATTACATAGGGAAGGCCTCTGTACAGTAGGTGCGTGATAGGAAGATCATGAATTACAATCACATATTGATTCTGTATGAACAAATTGAACCCGCGGCATACAGCAGCGCAGCATGCTGCTCCATGTCGCCAGTCTGAGTAGCCAGTATACACGCGGTACAGCTATATTTCTGGTATAGTTGTAGCACGAATGGGTCGGCTCGACCGGGAAAGGACCACGCTCTCACAGAATACCAGCGTATATAAGCAGCTTAATGCTGCTGTGTTTCGTATGGTAAGTGTAGAGAACCGGAGACCCTTTTTACCGGAAACGAGGCATTCCATCTTACTCCTCACGGGTGACAACCATCTGCATTTTGATTGTAATCGAGGATAAATGTAGATGTCTATGGACCACAGCAACCACTTAACATCGGGTGGACTCTGTGCCGTTTATCACCCTTATTCTATAAAAAAATGAAACGTTGTCCAGTGATAGTTTTACACATTTTTTTAATACAATTATACGAGTAGTGTCAAACGAACTGACAGATTTTGGTTGAAGTTGGTTGGTTAATTCCAAATTCCGCCCTACAATCTTTGTCGTGTTCAAGGCAAGAGTGAATAAACTAAGATAGTGCGATTTATCGTTTAGAGCTTTATCACCACTTAGCACCAGGTGGTATTGCGGGCAAGGACTGGCATATAATAAGTAAAAAAAAAAACTTGTGTTTATTAATTTAAGTTTTTTCGTTTTAAAATTACTTTTAATGATAATTTTTTATAGATTGTACAATAGTCACGGGAATACGTCAACTCTAAACTATACTCCCACTACGGATATGGAATATGGGACGTTGGCATGTTTCGGAGAAAACGCGATTGGCAAACAAAAGGTGCCATGCCTTTTCCAGTTAGTAGTCGCTGGTGAGTATGAAACTTTCAAACGAAATTTGAAAATGTTTAGTAGAATTATTTCTTTTTCTATTTCCTCTTTAAAAATACGTTACTCCAACACTAGGCTTTTCTCCTGTGTCGTGAAGTAAGTTTGCTTATTTAAATAAAACTAGATTCTATGGATTCTATCGCGTATATTAACTTATTTTAAATTCCCAACGTTTCAAGCACTTTACAGCACCCATGGTCACGGGGTGCGGGTGGTGGGGACTGAGGTGTTCGACGTCCCAATGTTATAGTTAATCACGGCTACTTCCAGATTAAAATTAATTATAAATAATTTTGCTCGAAACGTCGGGGATATAAAATAAGTTAATATTCACGTTAGAATCCGTAAAACTGGTTTTATTTAAATGTGTAGTGTGTAAATATAAGAAATCATTAATTTTGCTTCCATGACTTAAACTTGAACAAACATCCGGGCCCGTAACAATTCCTATTCCCATTCGAGCTACAATTATAATATAGCCGCAGCATGGCTCTACCGCGAAATCTTGGAAAATTAGTTATTTTTCTTACTCGATTTTGATACGGAGCATCCGAGATCTAGTAAGATCATCTTTGCTATGTTGACAAATGAATTACAGAGTCAATATTCTCGCACTGGTAGTACATTTCTTTATAACCAGACTGCCAAATTTGAGGTCAGCATTGTTGTATTGATTTTCGCCATTTCCTGTCATTTAATCAGGATTTGCTACGTCGTAATAGTCATTTAAGACGCAGGAGTGAAAAAGCTTGATTGTGAAAAAATCTCTCTTGTATAGAGCAATGAATATCCCCGTAAAGCAACACGAGCTGACGTTTCAATTCGTTTCATTGAAATAATTGGCATTTTCTCTCTTACTAATTGATAACGTGTAAAATAAAATTTTTGTTCATGCAGGTCGTCCATTCCAACTACAGAATTGTTCAGTGGCCAACCAAAGTCTTGATTCTTTGTATGTCGAATGCGTAGAGAACTTTGACGGCGGTTTGCCACAGACGTTCTTAATGGAGCTGCTGGAATTGCCTTCGCTTACGGTGAGTTGTATATTGTCAGAGTAAAATACATTTAAAGTAATTTACAAACTATTTCATTTTTTTTAATATTACATAATTAATATTTCACAAGCCAACTAAAAGCGGCATATTTTAACTTTACACTGGCACAGTGATTAAAGAGCCGTTTGCCACAATTAAGAAAAAAGAAGCGGCATATAAACAATATTGGTATATAGTATTTGGCTAATAAAAAATAAAAAAAACATTACTAATACAACTTCTTAATCTATAAATACATGTAAAAATTCACTTTGAAATAAATTAAATTAAATGTTGATCTAATTTTAAATTTAATTAAACTAAATGTAATCGTTAATTTCTGAAACTACGGTTGGGATAATTTTCTTTCCGAAATTAAAATAAAAAAAGCATAAAGTATATTTTTTTATTAAAACTGTTGATAAAGCCTTCATACACAATATTTTTATTTAACAAGCGCAACGAGCATGGACTAAATATTACATTGTTATGAAAATGATTTGTATACATGTTAGAAGTATAAACGTACAGAACAAATCGCCTTATTTTCCATTCTTTCCTCTAATTATCGAAGCATTCGCTTGGAATAAAAATTTATTCCCAACAGGTGCGCTACAACGTTTCCACGAACCGTACTCCGCCATATTTCGAAATACGTGGATTGCCGCCGGGCGTGAGTTACAGGATCGACCTGTATGCGGTCAATGCCAAGGGTCGGAGCGACGTGTCCACTATTGAAACCGTTACTCTTAGAGGACAAGCCAAATATACTGGTTAGTGATATATGCGCTCAATTTTAACCCTAACATAATAGATTTGCGTGGAACTCTATACGGCGCGTCTACGGAATTTGTCGAGCGTGTCTGTAATGTACATGATATTTGTAATTTCGTGTTTATGTTTTTAAACCACATTTAATGTTTGAAAAAATGCTCACAATTTATAAGCTATTAAAAATCGAAACCATCGATCTGTTTATTGTAAGACCCTATTATTGGACGTTGGTGTCTTCCATACGGTAAGGTTTCGTCGTAATCACTACGCAGTGCAGGCGAAATTACGATGGCAGTCCTGAGTATTTTACTTAGCTTACGTTCTTTCCTTCCTATCTATTGGAAATATTATTTAAGCTAAGCTTGTTGGATGTCTATACTGTCATTAAGTTGGTAGAGAGAATCAGGATGAGAGTCACGGTGATATTAAACAGGTAATTCCACGACGACCGAACTTTACTTCACAGAGTCAGCAATTCATTAATGGAAAATATTTTATTCGCTTTAACAACAAAATCCCAGAATATAAACAAAGTTTATTTACGGTACTAGTGGTAAATAAGTTCTACAAGCAGATCCCTTTTCAAAACCTCTTCTTAACTTTACCGTCCATAATTCCAGTTTTTATTCCTCATCCTTTTCTCTTCAGGAGGTTACGCTATCGTTATGGAAATCTCTATCACCTAACCTAAAATATTCTAAAACTTTATTGGTATTTAAGAAACGTGTCATAAAAAAATACTTTACATCATGTTTATTATTATAATTTGTTGTATTTTATATATATTATTTAATACGATATTATCGTTTATATTATTATTTATCGTTTTATTTATTATATTTTGTATAATTTTTTGTACATTATTTATTCATTAGAAATGTACGCACTGAACTTGCCTTTTTAAATATATTATCTCCCTGTCCCTGTTTACTGGAAGATATGTCAATCAATTATGGTATAAATGGAACCTTTGTCCTCCATATTTCATATTATTTAATAAAGTAAAAAATCAGAAAAAGAAATATGTTACAAGAAAAAATGTCATTTTGTGATTTTATTGTTGCTCGTTCTTACAAGGTTCCCCGGTAGTAGGGACTTTTTGAAGCGATGACGTAGCATTTACCTTTCAAAAAGCGCTTTGTCAAAGCCGATTTTGAATAAAAATATTTGTTTATGGCTTTAAAGATGTCGATGGAAGTGACAGCGAGAAATAAAACAGGAAATGCGTAGCAGAAATATGTTAATAACAACTCAAAATGATAAAAACTGCGGTTGCCAACATGGCGAGGAAACTATGGCAAATATTCATATGAGGCAATCTATGGAAGGCCTATGTTCAACAGTTTCAACTTTTATGGACCGATGATGAATAAGAAGCCTACCATCATGCTTTTTGGGTGAATTGACGATTGCAATATCAAACGTCCCTTATACTTCTGTACGTGGTAGAGCCATGCTGCAGCTATTTTAGTAGTATAGTTGTAGCAGGAATGGGTAGACTCGACCGGGGAAGGACCACGCTCTCACAGAAAACCAGCGTAAAATAGAAGCTTAACGCTGCTGTGTTTCGTATGGTGAGTTTAGAGAACCGGAGACCCTTTTTACTGGCAAAGAGGCATTCCATCTTATTCCTCACAGGTGACAACGCATCTGCATCTTGAGTCTTTATTGAGAAACATACGCATTTATTGAAAAACATACGCAGACCTTTGAGTAAATGGGGCGCTTTACTCCGTTGTGGGAAGCCAGAAGTTGTCAAAAAAGGCACGTGTGGCAATTCACAATGTTGTGTTAGTTCCAATTTAAATGTATGGTAGTGAAAGTTAGGTGCGGCTGAAGAAGCACGATAGTAGATTAAATGCGGTCATTAAAGAGTATGTTAGGGCTGAATCTGAATGACAGGCTTAGAGATTGTGTGATAAGAGATGCGTGGTTTGCAAGATGATGTTGTAAACATAATTAAAAAAGGAATGCTTTGGTGGTTTGATCGTGTAGAAAGAATGAATAAGGAAAGAGTGCAAAGCAAATTTATGTTGCAGAAGTGAACGGCAGAGTCGGGAAGGGACGCCCCTGACTAGATTTTATCGTTTATTTGGCAATATATTGAAAAGATAGGCTTGATTCAGAGTACTTTTAACCGACGAGCATGTATGCATAGGTATATGGATGTAAAGGATGGATGTTTATGACTATGATTGTTATGAAAAAAGTGTAATAAATTACATTATTATCGCGTCTATAATGCAACCATAGTTGTGAGTCGAAGTCACGCTAAGCTCCGTCAAACCAAACGGCTTCATTCCGTGTTGCTTTGTGTTGAAAAAAATAACATAATGCATCAAAACAGTGTGTCATTATGTTCGTTCGCCTTCAAATATGTAATTTGTTACACTTCAGGTGTTTGCAGGTGGCCAGCTACAGTAAGAATTAGGGCAAAATTTAATTCCATGTATTTCTATATTTTATAACTAGCTTGTTACAAGGCCTCGCTTTTTCATCTACCATTTGTCTTCTTTTCTTTCTTTCCTAAGACGAATGAAGTAAAGTAAAGTATCTGACTACATACATCTCACTATTTAAAAAAGGATTCCTGAAGATTTATGGCATGGAAAAGGTGTTCGTGATTAACAACGTGGTAGAGCCATGCTGCAGCTATATTTCTGGTATAGTTGTAGCACGAATGGGTCGGCTCGACCGGGGAAGGACCACGCTCTCACAGAATACTAGCGTAAAATACCCTTTTTACTGGAAATGAGGCATTTCATCTTAGTCCTCACGGATGACAACGCATCTGCATTTTGATTCGTAATCGAGGATAGATGTAGATGTCTATGGGCCGCCGCAATCACTTACCATCAGGTGGACTGTGTGCTCGTTTGTCACCCTTATCCTATAAAAATATGTGCCGATTTACAGTAGTGTCAGTGCTGTTAGCCAGTTGGCTTTTATAACTTTATTAGAATCATGTTTTCACACTGTCTTAAACTTATTGGCGTGTTGACATTTCACGTTCCTGGTTTTGTTTTTTCTAAATTCCCAGACGAGATCTTCTCTCCACGTTTTTCTTCGGTGAGCACTTTGTGAATAAGATCTTATTACATGTAAAGTGTCACCAGCAGGAAAGAACTTTAGGATTTTTTTTGTGAACTCTGGTTCGTTTCTCTAAACCATACAAATCACACCAATAATATGCGGTTCTTTTTACGTGATGGTTAATAGATGCTCTTGTATGCTCAATGACATACTCATCTAAATTGAATTAAGAATCAAAATACAGGTGCGTTTACACGTCGGAGTAGTAAATACTAAGACGAAATTCCTTGTTACCGTTGAAAAGTGTTTTGGTTTTTTGTTTCTTACTATACGATACACATCAGAATTATGATGGTATTTTACGCTGGTATTCTGCGCAAACCTGGTTCTTCTCCGGTAGAGGTATTTCTGCAGTCATAATACACAACTTCGTGGCTCTACCACGTAGTTTCATTTTTCAACTCTATCAAATAACTACGTAGTACTGACATCAGCAAGCGCATTTTAAAAGTCATATGCCCATCTAACGACTTAAAAGGTTTATACTGGTATAGCCTATTAAAATCCACTGCTGTAAATAGACCTCCCCCATACCTTGCCTTATAGTATGGATATTTGCCAAAGTTGCCACGCTTGGCAAGTGTGTTGGAAACCACAGTTTATTATTTTTAGTCGTTATTACGAGACGCTGCTTACCATCTCCTGATTTGCCCTTTGTTACCTCTTACGACACCAACAGCATGATATGGGGTAGTTGATATTCTTACACCGCCACTACATGTTAAAAAGGGGTTGATAATGACGGCGATATTGTGTAAACTCATTATATGTATACAATTATTAGAAAGTAGGTTACCAATCTATAACCATTATGAAATCCTTTTATGAAGAAATAAACTATAAAGCAGGGTAATTTGTTTCGCGTGTCGTGTTTAGAAATGCCACTTAAAAGGTTTACAGGGCTCTCTGTTAGTGGTTTTGATGTTTATTATTTAACACTGTATAAAGCCATTTTTGCATATCGCTCCGAAACACTCGCGAGTCAAAACGAATGTAGCGGCTGAAATAACGAGGCTTTGTCGCGATACTGGCTTAAGTTGTCCCCGTGTCTCGTGTTTTAAATAAATGAACATTAACGAAAGTGTAGTGACGGTGTAATAATATTCACTTACCCATATCGTTTTTTGTTTGTCGTAAGGGACTACAAGGGGTAGTAAACCGGGAGACGGACAGGCAAGTCTTCCTAATAACAACTAAAAGTTAAAAAAAACTTAACTTTGATAAAGCTTTAACATTGATAAAATAATTTAAAAAAATATTTTATCAAAGTTAAATAGCACTTTATTGTTACTAAATTAACGTATCGTTTACTAATTATACATGTGGTATCTCTCCTGTAAGTGATAGCACACTTAGTTATAATAATTATGATGTCAATCCATATATATGTAACAGTGTACTTATTGTTGTACTTTACTTTACTTATCTTCACGCACAATCCCTGACAGGGTAGCCATAGAGAACAGATCGCCAAGTGTCACGATCCTTACATACCTCTTTCGCTTCTTTCAGATTCATTATCTTCTTCATACCCCCTTTTCGAGCTATTTGCTCACATGGTCTTCAAAAGTTAGTCTCGGTCTACCTCGACACCTTTTAATATTTACTTTCGCGCTATATATTTTCTTCACCATTCGGTCTTCACTCATTCGCTCAACGTGCCCAAACCATCGAAGCACGCCCTTATCAATTTTTAATTAATTAATTACTAATTTTACTTATTGTTGTGAGAGCCTAATAAAAGAAATAAGAAATAAGAAAAATGCAGTTTGCAGCTTGCCTACCAAGCGTAGCAACAGTGGAAAATATGCCCCCCCTGAGTATAAAGCAATCTATGGGAGGGCCTACGTTCGGTAGCAGCAGTGGACTTGTGATAAAAAATGAACATTCTGACAGCTCGGTATAT